TGAATTGTTGAAATATTTCGTAATAGAGATACGTTGCGTTTAATACGTTATTTTAGCAATGAAGATAGAGGGGTGATGATGATCGCGAACGTGTCAAGGGTCATAGAGCACGCTCCAAAATGTGATTTATTTGCAGGTCGCGCGAAAGTGAGCCCGGGGACAGGGCACGGGCGTTTATGTTTACGATTGAGAAATATTTGGGTCTCGGTGCATATTTCACGTGCACCCGGCGATGTAACATTCTTATCCGGCACGGAATATTTTCACGGGTCTTAACGTCCTGCGTCTTACGTCGTGTTCCGCTTGAAATAAAACTATTCAGGGCAAAGTGTGTCGTCGCAGTCGCCTCGATACAGAACCGCAAAGGTTAAGCTTAAAGCAGTCACCTGACATTGCGGTGACATCGCCGGAGTGGCCGCGCCTCTACGCAGACGTTCGGTAAAGATTGTCGTCGGAACCGAAAAGTGCGTCACTTTCGTTCTCGTTGGCAAATAATCTCGCCCGTTGCTGAACGGTGGCCGGGTAATTATCACTTAAAAATTCATATTTCGCGGATCAAATCCCAGCGAAATTGGCATCCAATTAGGAGAAGAAACTTAACCGTGAACACTGGTGTAACGCGCGCCGATGCTATTCAATTAATTTATAAATCTCTGTAACGACAAACGCAATTAAAAACGGAATTTAGTTGACGGTGTCGTTGAATGCTGCGCAGGAATTAAATTGGCAATATCATCGGCGACTTAGTTGCAAATATTCGTAGGTTTCACCATCTTGTTTTCTCAATCGTGACGGATTTGAATAAAGGAGATACATACTTACGAAAACTACTACTAAACGAAATGCAGCAAAGTGATACTTTCAAAAATACGTCATCGAAATCTGTGTTCGGGAATTTATCGAATGAAACACGTTTCATGGTTTTTGCTATTGTCAATAGCTTATTGTCAATATGTATAAATATAAATATTGTCAATAGCTTATCGTCAATACGTATACGTATAAATATTGTCAACAGCTTATTGTCAATGTGTATAAATATAAATATTTTCAATGTTCTAATCAGCGTTAAGCAGTTTGTCTCGTTCGCGGGGTCCATTATTTTTTGTAATTACCTGCATGCAAATTCAAAGTAACGTAAATGTCTAAATGCCAGTGCGCTATTTCGAATAATTTGTTATAGAGCCACGAATCCCAAAGGATGTTATGCGAACTCAATTGCGTGGGCCACTTTCAATAGAGGAGTCAACGGGCCATGTATTTCCTTTATTAAAATATACTCTGTCTGACATAACTATTTTTTCAAACGTTCAGGATATCATTCTGCATGAAAAAATAAAACCGTAAATGCGAGATAAAAGCTTTCCGGACGAAACTGCGTGTCCGAGGTAATCAAATTTCAACATTGGAAGCGTACCTATGCCTCTAGTGCGGTTGTACGACCTGTCTGACCATTGCCTGCTGTTTCTACTTACTGCGAGCGTAACTGCATACAGCGCGTTATAACTTGTCTCCCACTGATTTCTCTATCTCTTACGCGATTGCAATTATTGTACACAATCAGTAATGCGCAATTGTCAGTATTTCGAATGATATTAATATTATCAATATTAACCGAACGGAAAAGAGAAAAATGTTTGATGTTTCAATTCATCGAAAAAGCTGTTTTACTATACGGTTATTATTGTAGTGTTTTATTTTATAGATTTCTTTAACTATCGTAAATGTACCAATTTATCGCGTAGAATCAATTTTCGTGTTACGTGTGTGTATCCACGTCGTGCAACCGCACATGTGTTATCACAAGCGCTGATTAATTATAGTGATGAATAATCTATTCTGGATAAGCTTGACCACTGTTTTGCGTAGATAAGCAAAATTTCAATGCAAATAAATGTTCCGGTAAAGTTAAAAACGTCTTGTCGACTATACGGAAACCAAAAGCTACTAAAAAGTGAGTCGAAATAATTGTTTGACGTAGATGATAAATATCGCTGCGTTACAACATTCGAACGGCGCTCCATTCGGACCCAGACTGAAAAAATTGATATCCGAATGTCAAATTTCCGGTAATTATTTTCAATATTCACACGTTTTAACGAAGCCTGTAGAAATACTAACGTATCCGAAAGAAATACCATGAAAAATATGTTGAAAAGAATTAATAAATAAAACGATAAATGATCGTAAGTATACCCAGTTGTATTTTATCAGAAAGATCCGTCGTACGAGGGTTAATAAACTATGATTTGTTCTTCGCGGTCGCGAATGCCAAGGAATACAACGTAACTGAATTTCAGCACTGTTTTCCACTCGAGACTGTCGATAAAGCAAATCGAGATCACTTCAACGGCCACCGATGCCGAATGTAATTCACTGATTCACGTAGCACGATTCAAACTGATGCAGTCCGCGGATGTTCATGTGCGCGCACGTACCAGATCGTATCAGAAAATTTGCAGGGCAAACCGCACGAGGATTGAAAGGAGAAAATAAAAGTTCGAGCTGGCTCTCTCATTAATGATCGGGCCCGTTATGGTAGCAGGCATTCCTCGACGCGGTACTTTTCGCGATCACGTTGCCACCGTAAGTACAAATTAGCTCATTAACCCAATTCCAAGGAGCCGTAATTCCGGTAGATTATTAGCTTCGAAATGGAACAATTGATGATCCGTCGAGACGCATCGAAACTGTTACCACTTCGGCACGCCGAAGTCTCCGCATTATTCCTCGTTCAGAACTTCCAATAATCTCGTTAACGCGATTCGAGGAACCTAAACGCTGTCACCTTAATTAGCCACCGTGAAGATTATCCGCCTACAAGACACAATGTACTCGGCGGAAAGCGTCACACCGTTCACGATGGAGTTTCAAAAAACAGAAGAGAAGCCTGCGACCAATCCCGAAAATTAGTCGCGTTCTAATCACTCGTTCAGCAATCACTAGGCATCTGTACGAGAACGCGTCGAACGGCACACGTCGGAGCGGCTCTCAATCTGAATGTCAATCGATAGATTCTCGATTGTTTCGAAATTTCATCGGCCCGCGTGCTCTACCAAAATCGGTCTGATAATACTCGCACGCTCGATTCGCAGAACACTGTATTAATACACCGTCTGCGTGTCAGCATCGCCTTTTCCATCTCGATTTTAACATCCTCTTGTCTTTTTTTCTTCCTATCCGCGCTCGCGCTCGCGTTATTTCGTTTTCACCGTTGCTGATAGTCTATTTCGTATGGCCACGAAGTTGGAACATTCGAATAAGTTCCTGTTAGCCTCGAATAAAAACGTGAATGCCAAGTTTTCTTAGTTCGTATCAACACTGAACCTGCTAAGCTCGAAAAGTAACTAAGGCGTGTTTTTTTTTTTATAAAAATGAGAAGATTGTATTCATTCAGACCTTACACCATTTTCATTGTAGTGTATGCTTGGATTAAGAAATTCATTCAATCGTTTTCTGTGAAAAGGTTTTTATAATTTCAGAAACTTCAACCCTTCACGGACGAAGATTTTGTAAACTATTAAGAATATTTTCCTCAGGAAACTAAATTATATATCAAAGGTTTAAATAATGGGAACAATGAACAATACATTCTGATATTTTATTAGACATGTAATGAAATCATAATGTGTCTGCGACTTCCGGAATCAGGTGTACAGTCCCGATGTTATCGGTATGTCGATATTCGTCCTCGATGTGTTAAAACTAAAACTGTGAAACCAGCCGTTTCGACCGTCTCGATAGGTTCAGTGTTAAATAAAAATTTATAAACGGAAAAAGAGGATTCTGTGAAAAGCGTGGTTGGCAAAATCAACGCGTTCCACGTAAACTGCTTCCAAGTTCACGAATAAAATTAAGCGAGCACAGTTACCAGTTTGATTTCTTTTTTAAGGAAACCAAGCCCAACGAGCAAAGACAATTTAACGAAACCAGCCCCAGAATTTCAAGAATCGTGTTGCCATTTTACGAGGACAGAACACAGTCACTCGACGAGTTCTCGAGCACTTAAAATTCTACCGGCACAGATTTCTTTCTCGCGAAAATTCTCCACTTTTCCGGTCGAAAGATTAGCACTTGAGTCTCGGGTGCCTATTACTTTCCGATACTTCGCGAGAACGACTTCGTTTACACACCTGTCACGTGTTTCAATTTTCCTCGCGATTTAATGTCGCCCGCAACGTTTCCGACGAGCGAGCAAGTGTGCTATCGTATAATGCTCGATCGTCAATCCGAATCTTTTAATTCCGCGGAACCGTACGATCTATCCCGAGTACCGCTGGTTCACCTGTTTCTCTATCCGCCGACAGAGTTCTTGGAATTCCCACGGCAACGTGACTGCGCGACTCCGCCGTGAAAGACGAACAATTCCTGGAAGCCTCTGACTCGCATTTTGTTTCGTAATATTCACGTGAATCCGTGTCCCCCTGTGCAACCGGGAATCCAATTTCCCGTCGCGGCGGACTATTGAAGCATTCCTCACTTTCACAAACACTAAACTTCGAATTCGTCGTCGACGTCGTTGTCGTCGTTGCCGTCGTCGTCGTCGATAAAGGAGCCCGAGCCGTAGGAATAAGAGATGATCCCCAACGCGGAACGGGGCACAAGGACCGGATCGCAAAGAAAATGCAAACACGCGCACGGCAAAAGAAACTCGGCGTTAATCTCCGAGGCCCCGGGGAATCTCCAATTCTAATCGCGGTTGGCGATCACGATTCGGAAAAAAGCAAGCCGACCCGAGGGAAAACCAACGGGAATCTTTCTCATTAGCGTCCCTTTCCTCGGCCGGAGCCTTTCATCGGAATCGGAAACACTGGGCAGAAAGAGAGGCCATTCGAGGAGAATAACCGCGGAGCCGAGAAGAGAAGGACGAAGAGGAGAAGGAGGAGGAGGATCGCCTAGCAAAGGAGAAGCTCCAATCCGCAGAGGCCATCAGCTCGAATCCCCATCGAAGGAGCCAGGCAACCCGTCACGTATCGGCCGTACGTCAATTTGCTACTTACACCTTGGCTGGAATCCTCACTTCACTATCTTGCACGCGGCGGCACAGAAAAATCGGCCGATCATCCGAGCTTCCGGTTAGTTGGGGGATTATTCGCGGCTGCGAGCAGGTAAACAACCGTTTTTTCCTGCGCCTCCTGCGAGCTCGCGCGCGTAACAAGCCGATCCGGGTGCCCGGTCGAAATTGCCGCCGGCCGACGTCAGCCGGTCGCGTCGGGACGCCTCTCATAAACAGAGAGGGCCGGCATTCGAGCGCGCCCGCCGCGGCTGTGCTCCGGTCTATCCTCGACGTGGTGGATCCTCATCCGCTCGGCTCTGCTCGGCGCGGCGCGGCGCGGCGCGGCGCGACGCGGCACGGCACGGCGCGGCAGGTGGCGCGAAACACGCTGATCACTCGGGGGCGCGCGGGCTCCGACGCTGCTCGAACGAACGGACACACTGACGCCTCAAGGTTTTGGGGTGGAAAACGATGCTGCCGTCTCGTGGCGCTCCCGCCAACGAAATTGAGCGTGCTTCTACGACGCTCGCGAGAAAATGCCCCCACAGTCGCGTCCGCGACGCTGACGCCGCCGCCGAGTGGGGGTTGGCTCTCCGTTTCAACCCTCTCTCCTATCTCCGTCTCTCTCCCTATCTAGCTACCTCTATCTTTCTACCCCACCTCTCTCTCTCTCTCTCTCTCTCTCTCTCGCGGAAGAGGATTGCTCGTGCCTCCCCACCTCAGACAGCCACGCTGTCTGCTCTTGTCTCCTCGGTGGAGTTTGCCCGACTGCCCTCTTCCTCGGCCCTTCGACCCTTGTTTTTTCATGGCTGATGCGTGCCAACCACCATTATGAGGATGTCGGTGTCCGAAGGCGTTCGGCGGTCGTACGGTTGTCAGTTCCACTAAAACCGGGGACGATGGGCGGTCAGTGGTGTTGACTACTTTATGCCAACTGAGTTCCAGTGTTTCGGGAGTCTTTAAGAGTGCGTTTGACACGTTTGTCTGTCACGATGATCTTATATGAATGACATTCTTCTTTGTTCAAATTTAGGAGAAGTTTCGNAATTTCCCGTCGCGGCGGACTATTGAAGCATTCCTCACTTTCACAAACACTAAACTTCGAATTCGTCGTCGACGTCGTTGTCGTCGTTGCCGTCGTCGTCGTCGATAAAGGAGCCCGAGCCGTAGGAATAAGAGATGATCCCCAACGCGGAACGGGGCACAAGGACCGGATCGCAAAGAAAATGCAAACACGCGCACGGCAAAAGAAACTCGGCGTTAATCTCCGAGGCCCCGGGGAATCTCCAATTCTAATCGCGGTTGGCGATCACGATTCGGAAAAAAGCAAGCCGACCCGAGGGAAAACCAACGGGAATCTTTCTCATTAGCGTCCCTTTCCTCGGCCGGAGCCTTTCATCGGAATCGGAAACACTGGGCAGAAAGAGAGGCCATTCGAGGAGAATAACCGCGGAGCCGAGAAGAGAAGGACGAAGAGGAGAAGGAGGAGGAGGATCGCCTAGCAAAGGAGAAGCTCCAATCCGCAGAGGCCATCAGCTCGAATCCCCATCGAAGGAGCCAGGCAACCCGTCACGTATCGGCCGTACGTCAATTTGCTACTTACACCTTGGCTGGAATCCTCACTTCACTATCTTGCACGCGGCGGCACAGAAAAATCGGCCGATCATCCGAGCTTCCGGTTAGTTGGGGGATTATTCGCGGCTGCGAGCAGGTAAACAACCGTTTTTTCCTGCGCCTCCTGCGAGCTCGCGCGCGTAACAAGCCGATCCGGGTGCCCGGTCGAAATTGCCGCCGGCCGACGTCAGCCGGTCGCGTCGGGACGCCTCTCATAAACAGAGAGGGCCGGCATTCGAGCGCGCCCGCCGCGGCTGTGCTCCGGTCTATCCTCGACGTGGTGGATCCTCATCCGCTCGGCTCTGCTCGGCGCGGCGCGGCGCGGCGCGGCGCGACGCGGCACGGCACGGCGCGGCAGGTGGCGCGAAACACGCTGATCACTCGGGGGCGCGCGGGCTCCGACGCTGCTCGAACGAACGGACACACTGACGCCTCAAGGTTTTGGGGTGGAAAACGATGCTGCCGTCTCGTGGCGCTCCCGCCAACGAAATTGAGCGTGCTTCTACGACGCTCGCGAGAAAATGCCCCCACAGTCGCGTCCGCGACGCTGACGCCGCCGCCGAGTGGGGGTTGGCTCTCCGTTTCAACCCTCTCTCCTATCTCCGTCTCTCTCCCTATCTAGCTACCTCTATCTTTCTACCCCACCTCTCTCTCTCTCTCTCTCTCTCTCGCGGAAGAGGATTGCTCGTGCCTCCCCACCTCAGACAGCCACGCTGTCTGCTCTTGTCTCCTCGGTGGAGTTTGCCCGACTGCCCTCTTCCTCGGCCCTTCGACCCTTGTTTTTTCATGGCTGATGCGTGCCAACCACCATTATGAGGATGTCGGTGTCCGAAGGCGTTCGGCGGTCGTACGGTNTCTCTCTCTCTCTCTCTCTCTCTCTCTCGCGGAAGAGGATTGCTCGTGCCTCCCCACCTCAGACAGCCACGCTGTCTGCTCTTGTCTCCTCGGTGGAGTTTGCCCGACTGCCCTCTTCCTCGGCCCTTCGACCCTTGTTTTTTCATGGCTGATGCGTGCCAACCACCATTATGAGGATGTCGGTGTCCGAAGGCGTTCGGCGGTCGTACGGTTGTCAGTTCCACTAAAACCGGGGACGATGGGCGGTCAGTGGTGTTGACTACTTTATGCCAACTGAGTTCCAGTGTTTCGGGAGTCTTTAAGAGTGCGTTTGACACGTTTGTCTGTCACGATGATCTTATATGAATGACATTCTTCTTTGTTCAAATTTAGGAGAAGTTTCGGTAAAAAATGTGGTCAACGGTATAGTGCGATGCACGATTTTGGCGTTATCGTTTTTTTTTTTAATATTCTGGGATTCCGTAGGGATGGCACGTTGGTCATACGTAGGCGATGTCTTCCATGATCAAATTTAGGAACAAGTTTCTGGTGAAAATCATGTACCATAGTCGCACAATGGAGTTTGACCAATTTTGGCGTCACCTAATTTTCAAATATTTTGGGATTCGTAAGGCTACGTTTAACGGATTGACTGTTATGTTGATCAATATGATTCTTTTTTGATCATATTCAGGATCATGTTTCTAGTAGAAAACGTGGACGATTCAATTTTGAAATAACTTGGAGTTCTGATAGGGTGCATTTAATTCTTCATAGTGCGAACGGTTTCTTCTGTTTGACTTCACCGTCTGCGATAACATTATGTTAACGAAGAATGAAATGATAAATGCTCATCAATTATTCCCCTCTATGGAAATCGTTGACAATAGACGAAAGATTTATATGTAATTTGAAATGAAACCGAAGTTGATTCGACTATGATCCCATATGTGATTTTGCAAACTACAGTAAATTTTCTTCAATTGTTGCTCAGCTTGTCAACAAAAATGGACAATTTGGAAAGAGGAGATACGATTATTCGAGAACTCCCTCGTGGCTCGTTTTTGTAGTCGCAGATTGTCAACAGCTATACAAACGAGCTGCGAGGCTCGAATGATCGTATCTGCTCTTCCTAAATTGCCCATTTATGTTTAGAAGCTGAGAGACAATTGGAGAAAATTTACTCTATTTAGAACAGTTGGGACATTCCATGATTGTTCTTATATAGTACATAATTGTGGCCTTATTGAAGAATATAATATAAATCGGTGAATCGGGTAATTTTAAGCAACAAATATTTTTAGCAGTAAAATTAGTGCAATTGTCATTGAGATAAATGTGTAAAAAGTTAGAAGAAATAAAATTCTTTCAATTTCGTTCACGTTTTCGGGCAAACTGACCATCGCGATTCGCCACGATTAAGGTTATTGTATTTGTTTCGGGCGCAATGATGGACGCGCTATAAGTTTGTTAGGCTTGCACCCCTGTTTCGACTCCCGTGGGCTTTTTCGACGGCTGTTTGCTCTTGGTAAATGGAATTTCTTGATGAACTCCCCTCCCCCTATATTTCTCTTTCTCTCTCGCTCTCTCGCTCTCTCGATCTCTCGCTGTGTCAATGTATACAGTATAGCTCGTCCGGAATGATAATGGCGAGTGGCGAGCTGTTATTAACGGATTGACTGTGGTTCGACAGTTAGTTTGAAGGTGTGCTCGTGAACGCAGACCCGCGTGACTCGAGAATTGATAGTCCCTGACGTTAAGCATTGTCGTAATGCGGCCGAATTGAAGATCGTTTGGTGATCTAGCTTTTGACGGTCTCAGTACTTAAAACTAGTCAGTCTGTTCGTAATTTCGCGGTTCGATCGTTCGTTACGGATCAGACTACAAGGTATCGTCGAATTCGTCGTGAAGCCGCGTTATTCAAGATCAAGATAAAAATGTTGTGTTTCCTTTAATAATCTCAAGAAATAGAAAACAGTACGTTGATATTCTTAAATTCATTTAATATTTTCACAGCTTCAAATTTGACTTGTTTATTTTTGTCATAAATGCATGCAATACGCAGACTAGTCGTTATTGTTGAAAATAATAAAGGGGAAAGGATTCTTGAAGGAAAATATTACTTTCGTTCCAGGAAGATGAAATCGATTCATTTCCGATTCGTTTTTTATGTTTGCAATAACAATAGATAAATACTTTTGGAAACGCGAACAGGATAATACCGACGACTGTACTTTAATGAAACTCGATTTTCACGTTTGCAATTGTGATAAATAAGTTCCTTTTAGAACACAATGTGCTAAATATAGCAATACAAGATTTGTATAAAAAGCAAAACTATAGAAATAATTTAAGCAAATCTCATATTGTTTTAAAACACAAAGAAAAACATAGAAAAATAAAATCCTTCATGCATATAGTACTGCATTGAGAAATCAGAATCACGGAATGAAATTTGAAATATTATCACAAATTTCATCAAAACTTACATTTCAATAGAAATTGTATGATCAACGGTTCGCTGTTCGATCAGTTTCGTTTACGAAATTGAAATACATACCTTTTACATATTCCATTGCCTAGAGTCGGTTTTTATTTAATCGGTAGACTACTGTATAACGCATTAAGACGTTTTAAATAAACAGAATCGTTACGGAATTTAAATAAGGATGGATATCCGCCGCATGACCCAATTAAACTAAGTAATGGCCGTTCTGTATTATTAATTTTTACCGTGATAATATTTATAACCCTCATACTTTACTTCGCTTTATCGCTTCCTGCGATGTCTCTAGTTAGGTTCTTTTGTCGTTATCGCAGACTGGTTCCTAGCATTTCAGTTTCTACAATGGAAACTGTTCTAGATGACCATAATTTATCAGGTTCTTATTATTTGAATAACGCATTCGATGTGTTTGTAAAATGGGATTAGCTTCGAAATTTTTATAATATTCAACTTATGATATCATATATTTAACTAACAAT